GTCCTTATTTCAATATACGCACGGGGAAACACTCAACATCTAAGTGGGTGCTGACATTTTCAATTTTCTGCTTGCCTATTTTCGGTTTGAAAGATTTCGTTCTGCCTGTATAATCATGATCTTTTTTTTATAGCGTCTGATTCTATGAGCCTTCATTTGCATTGTGACACTATGTGACACTAGGGAATGAAAAGGGTTAATTTAAAATATGAACTGGAACAGACGGAGAGGGTTAAAAGTACGAATAACATAAACTGAAAGAAGGAACGAAATGGTTTCCTATCCTATGGTTACCTATCGAATATCTATCTTGAAGAGAAACAGACAAAAAGAATTACTTTATTGGTTTGGGGAAACATATTACCAGAGGCCATGCGGAAGGCATCAGCCCACGAGGTCTGAGAAGGAATAGTGAAAGTACATTCGAGGTTATTTGAGAATTTTTGAAACGGAAGCAGAAATTGGGAAATTGATTTATGTCCGGAAGTTACGAAACATGTCTCATGATTACCAGACGGAAGAAGGGGTCACTTTTGAAAACGAAGGCAGAATCCAAAAGCTGATTTATGCCTCCCTGTCAAAGAGCGGAAGCAGCTTCGCCGATTTTGGTAATGTAAACAAATCGAGATATAGGATTTTAGCCTTCGCTGGAAGAAACTAAAATACGAATGGACCTCTTTGGTTTGTGAGTATGATTAAGCAAAAAGATATGAAGACAATTTCTGCTAATAGCGGGTCGGCGGAACAACTGGTAAATGTCTGCTTAAATAAACAGGACCGGGGACTGAGAAAGTTCGTTGGTGAAAATTAAGATAATTACAATTAATGATTAAAAGTAAGAACCACCCTTTCGCCCACTCGGTTTAAAAGTCTGATTTGTCTACCAAAACGGCGGACTTAGATGAAATATTAGGTTGGTGCAAAAATAATGACGTAATAATGTCGTTTTTTGACGTATTTTTTAACGTTAAAAACGACATTCTTACGTCATTATTTTTGCACCAACCTAATACTAAGAGAGGATGAGGAAGACGGAGAAATTACCTCGGCCCATTTGGAAGTAATGGTGAGAGGTAAAAATAAGAGAAAGAATGAGTTATAAGGGCATTCCCTAATATTGCGAACCAGACAACAAATTACTCTTGTTTAAATCGATATGGAGACCAGGGGAATCAATAGATCCCCAAGTATCGTCAGTCCAACTCCAATCTTAGGTCGAAGTCAATATAAACAGAGCATTTAGGCGGCCCAAAGAAAGAGACAGACGAGAGACAAGCGGCGAAGAGCAGACGAAGGTGCTATTGAAATCCACGTGACTTGCTGCCAAGAGACTTTAAGCCCTGTTCCAAGAATTAGCACCAACAGACAAAGTATCACTCTTGAGATTTTAGTGGAAGGGTTAATGTTGTTATGCAAAGAACTACATAAAGACAATCAGGTCCGAGGAGTCTTTCGTTTTTATTTCGTCTGCGAGAACATTTCCTTTTTATTTTCTTCATAACACAGCTTTGCCGTAGTTTGAACCAGCGCTATGATTACTGACGATACTCTATCTCCACTGCTCTGTGATCCAGAAGCACAACGTGGGCGGAGCAATGTGTGGACAGGGGCAACCAGCGACCAACGGCCTTTGACCAGCGACAGTATCGACCAGGGTGGGATTGATCCTGCAATCAACTCCTCGTCCTACGATCCTGAGGAGTAAGCCACCTTCTGGCATAGTGTATCAAGGGTCATATCATGTCACTGCTGACCAGCTTCCACCCAGGATCGGCCGGGTCACGCGTGTTAAGGTAGTGTTTGCTTTACTTTTTAGCTGATAGGATTGCATTTTCCTTCCTAATTTTGTATTTTCTTTTGATTTTTTCTGTCTTAGATTTGCTCCTCTTGTCAGTTCATCGAGTACTGATAATGTTGTTCAATTTCTTTCTCTATTTTTCTTTTCTATAGTGGATCTTAATGTTTGTGAGTCTGCCTTTTTTTACTTTGCTGTTTAATTTTTTAGTTGCTGCTATTGCTAATGTATATATTGCTTCGTTGAGACTCATATGTTGGCCTACTTCATCCAGAATTAATTTGTGTGCTGCATTGTAGAGTTGAATAGTTATGAGGTTCTACTTTGAAAGTTGTTCTCGTTCTTCCAATTTCAATATTTTGTGTCTGACTTATATGTCTTCTTTCTTTGGCTTCTTGTATATTGTTCTTGTTTTCCGTAAGATAATTCGGTTCAATGACTTTTGGACTCGTTGTATGTGAGCGACTAAGATCACGCCTTTCGAACTCTTCAAAACATTCAGCATTATCTTCACAGTGATTGGTGTGTATCTCAGTTCCTTCATTATGATCTGTGGTTTGTCTGATGTTAGTGCTTTTTATGTCCATTTCTGGTTCCCTTTCATGTTCTCTTCATTCGCTTATTCTGGTTGCAGTTCTTTTTATTTCTTTAATATCGGCATCTGCCAATTGGTTATTTCTCATGATGTACCTTCTTACATTGGCTAGTTTATTTTCATCAATGTACTTTCTAATTGCGTGTTCAACCTTTTCTCGCTAAATGCCATATATTTGGCGGGTTATGCATTTCTGAGGTTTGTGCAACGCATCATAGAATGCAGCCATAACGAGTTTGTAACCATCACGAGACCATTTTATCTTTTCTTTCTTTAAATATCAGTGGTTTTTGGTCTCATAGCAGCAGATGTGGAACCAGCCTGCTAATGTCTCAGCATTTTTTCTGAATGGCAATCTGTCAAAATGGCGTCTGACATGAAAGCATATATGAAGCATTGCTGTGTCACTGAATTATTCCATACGGGAAACAAATGCACCCACTGACATTTATCAGCATTCGCTGGACTTTTCCGGAAACCAAAGAGAGGATGTGAGTACAGGCCATGTGTAATAGGGTTCAGCAGTGGTAACAACAATATGTATGACAAGACAAGCGCCATGCTTTTGACTAAAGCAGATACTTTGCTTATTACTGGCAAAAAATGCATGGCAGAAATTGAACTGGGAATGATAGTATGGTAACAAACAATGCATCGAGCTACACAGTATGGGAAGTTGCGGAGAGCTATCTCCTTCCACATAAAAGAAGAAAACTAACATAATTCGATCTTCCTACCTTCGTTTCTAATAATGCAGAAAGACCATCATATTTCATGTTTTATTTTTGATTCTCTAGAAACTCTCAATATGAATCATTAAATAAAAACTACTGGAATTTTATTTTCTGCCATTTCTGTCAGGCTGAAAGGCATACTTTTAAAAAAAATAGTTCTGCAGATGACTCTTGTTTAATTTGTGGCAAAAGTTCAAATATTTGTATACATGGTGTACGACATTTATTGCGATTCAAGTAGCCAGCCAATTTTTATAGGCAGTAAGTGGTATTCAGTGAATGCCTATAATAGTTTATTACAAACATCTTTGCATATACAGCCTTTTTCTCTCCCCTTGAAGTTGGTGGTGGTTTTTGTTTAGCGAGCCATGGGTTATCTAAAGCTGAAATGTAAATAATTTGTACGCAAATTTGTTGGTAGTTGGTGGAGATAACAATGGTTTTAATGATACATTATTTACATTATTCAGACTATTGTCCTCATCTTTGTCGCCATATTTATTACAACGTTTCGGCCTTTCAGTATCTGTCTATATTTCTGAGATGAGGTTTTATGTACATTATTTACATTATTAAGACTATTGTCCTCATCTTTGTTGCCATATTTATTACAACGTTTCGGCCCTTCAGTATCTGTCTATATTTCTGAGATGAGGTTTTATGTACACTATTTACATTATTCTGACTATTGTCCTCATCTTTGTCGTCATATTTATTACAACGTTTCGGCCTTTCAGTACCTGTCTATATTCCTGAGATGAGGTTTTATGTACACTATTTACATTATTCTGACTATTGTCCTCATCTTTGTCGCCATATTTATTACAACGTTTCGGCCTTTCAGTACCTGTCGATATTCCTGAGATGAGGTTTTATGTACACTATTTACATTATTCTGACTATTGTCCTCATCTTTGTCGTCATATTTATTACAACGTTTCGGCCTTTCAGTACCTGTCTATATTCCTGAGATGAGGTTTTATGTACACTAATTACATTATTCTGACTATTGTCCTCATCTTTGTCGTCATATTTATCACAACGTTTCGGCCTTTCAATATCTGTCTATATTTCTGAGATGAGCTATTATGTACATTATTTACATTATTCGGACTATCTTTGTCGCCATATTTATAACAACGTTTCGGCCGTTGTACAGTCCGGCCTTCTTCAGGTGGTTGGAATGTCGAACAACCCTTTATTTCGTTCACTGAGGTAGACTGTTCTAGTTCCACGTGCCATTTTTTGATGGATGTCAGTTATCAGTTATCTCCTGTTGATTTCCCTCTGAAAGTTCTCCACTGCCTTAGCCGGGTATTGAACTCACACACTTTGGGTCCTGTCACTGGATATAACTAACGCCTTTATCCACTGCGCCACGTGTCTTCAAGTATAATACCTCATGTCAGAAATATAGACAGATTTTAATGATATAAATCTTACTAATTAACCCGTATCTGAGGGATAAGCGGTACATTCATACCTTTCCCAAGGAATTTTGCACATAAGTCAATATAACGAACACAACAGAAATTGGAACTCTTCTATCCGATTAACAATTCCGAGCCATTATCCATTACACCTCAATCACATCTAAGCTTACAGCAGATGGCACTCCCAAGTGTTCACCTATCTTGGTAACAGGTTCGAAGTTGCTTAACTTCGGTGATCTTACAGGAACCTGTGTCTCAAAGTGATGTGACCGTCATCTCTTTATACTTCTCGTACATCCTAGCTTACAATACCTGATATTCCCAAGCGGTCACCTCTCTAGGTATTGACCAGGCTCGACATTGCTTATCTTCGGTAATCGTACGGAAACCTGTATCGCAAAGTAATGAGACTGTCAACACTTTATACTACCCGTATATCCTAGCTTACAATACCTGGTATTCACAAGCGTTCACCTATCTAGATATTGACCAGGCTCGATGTTGCTTAACTTCGGTGATCGTACAGGAACCTGTGTCTCAAATAATGTGACCGTCAACTCTTTATACTACTCGTACATCCTAGCTTACAATACGATCAAGCACGACGATGCTTATCTCCGGTGATTGTACGGTAACCGGTGTTTCAACGTGATTTGGATGTAAGCCCACGTGAATTTGTAGTTCTCCAGACAGGATGATACGGTGCCGGGGTCTTGTGTAACGCCTTGTGGATACGTGATCCCCTCATGTTGAAGGATGGTAGCCTCAGTGCTGGGGGCAGATGTCCAAGAGATGTACACGTTTTGTTGTTGGTGACGCGGTTCTCTCAACTGATACAAAGGATTCTTCGGAGTTTTGCTTGTTGAAACCGCTCCAGACGTTTGATGTTCCGACGATATAAGGTGTAAGATTCACAAGCGTACAGAAGGGTAGAAAGGGCCACGACCCGGAAGCCAATCTAGAACTTTTATGGGACCTTACCCATAATAATAATAATGGACTATTCCATACTTAATAAATTCTGCGCCTCAGGAGTAGGCAAGGAGTCCGTCGTTCGCTTTCGCGACCGGCTGTTCGGTTGAACTCTCTACCTTCGGGCGGAGAGGAACCCGAACGAGGCTACGCCGAAGGGCGGAGTCTCTTTCGAGGAGGTAAACCTACCCTGAACCCGTTTATACGGGTTCATTGGGGACGAGCTCACGGGTTCGGAGATCCCACACGTTAAACCGGCCTTGTGCCACATGACGCCCTCGTGGGCAGGGGTGACTGAATATCGTCAGTCGTTCAAGTCTCGACCGACTGATCGGTTGAACTTTCTGCTTTTGGGCAGGGAGGAACCCAAAGAGGCTACGCCGAAGGGCGGATTCTCTTTCGGGGAGGTAAACCGACCCTGAACATGTTTATACGGGTTCAATGGGCATATTTTTGGCCGAGCTCACGGGCTCGCAGATCCCACGTTAAACCGGCCTTGTGCCACATGACGCCCTCGTGAGAGTGACTGAATATCGTCAGTAGTTCAAGTAGAGTCAGTAGTTCAAGTAGAGTCAAGAGTCGAGTCAGAGGCAGTCCGAAACAGAGTCGCATTCAGACAATTACAGCAAGACATTGGAATAGTGATACTGGTCGAGACTACATTGTTCTCTCTATTAAATCTGATTGTTCATACTAACACTTTCTACTTCTCTGTATATATTCCTGTTTGTAATATATCTGTGTTATTCCATACCTGTATTCGAGTTCTCCTTATTGGTTCTATCTTGGACTATCACCGTGTACAAGGAACCGGACCATAACAAGAACGTATACTGAAACAAAGTGCCCACATGCGTACAGATAACGAATTCAGTAAAAACAAAAAGAGAACGGTTTTAAGATAACTGGGGGACTCTGGTAGAATTAGAAATTCTACCAGGTTGTATTAATGCTGGCCATAATCTTAACAGCGTAAGTTATGCAAACAACAGTGTATTGATAGCAGACACGGAATACAAACGACAGGAAATTCTGCAGAATGTAGTAAAAAAATAATCCAGATGTTTGTGTGTTCATGTTTATTTCGTTTTATGTCTTATACACACCTCAATGGGTTATTTAATGCCGACAAGATTTTTAGGATAGGTTCGTATGAATAGAATATGTATTTTTTAAAGAAATCAGTTTGTAGAACAGGTTTCATTAAAGTATTTTTCTAAAGACGGTTTTTCTCGAGAGTCAAATGTATTGGTGGTAATTTCTTTTCAAAAATGTATTGCTGGTAATATATATACAGTGTAACCCGGATATAAGAGACCCGGATGTAAGAGAAACCCGGATATAAGAGAGATTTTATCTGGTCCCATATTAGAGCCTGTGTTAATGTATATAAAATAGACTAAACCCGGATATAAGAGAAACCCGGATACAAGAGACTTCTTCCGGTCCCGACAACTCTATTATATCCACATTGTATATATATATATATATATATATATATATATATATATAAATAAAAAAAATATTAAAATCTTCAGACACACTGGGTTGTAGATTAATATTCTTCCTTTTTTATTGTTATCATTTCATTTTAGATTCCTCGACTAGTTTCGGGCAAATTGGTGGTCATATATATATATATATATATATATATATATATATGTATATAATTTAAAGATAACAGACAACTTCATGGGTCCATGTTCATAATTTATTTCCCCAGGAGTTTTTTTTTCTCTGGTCAATCAGACTTCAATTAACATTGAGCTCTCCAAATATCATCCTCCTTGGGATTATCCATACGGATTACCAAAGATTTTCATTATTAACTCTCTCTCTCTCTCTCTCTATATATATATATATATATATATATATATATATATATATATATATATATATATATAATAAACCTGATTCTATCCTCTTGGAATTTTTTATTCAAAACATATACATGTATGTGTATGCACTTATGCATATATATTTATATATTTTGCATATGTATGTGGCCCATAATAGATGCTACCACCCCGGGTGAGGGTCAACCTGAGAACAACTGGAATTAAGTGTTGG